ATCATTACATTATCATCATTACCATTATTCAATCACCAATATATCATGCATCATCATCGCTTATTACCACTCATATGCATCAATCATTACCATTATCAATCATTGAAAGCATCATCATTACCATAATCATCATCAAATCATCAATAATCACCATACCATTATCATCATCGTATTACCATTATCATCATCATCATCATCATCATCGTAATGTACCATTATCATCATCCCCATTCATCAATCTCATTATTATTAACATCAGTACGTTATTACCATTACATCATCATCATCATCATCATCATCATCATACATCTCGTTATTACATCTGCCTTCCCCCCGCCATTACCATTATCATCATCATCATCATCATTACGTTATTGACCATTATCATCATCATCATCATCATTATCGTTACAATCAATATTACCATTATTATCATCATCATCATCATCCGTTTATCCGTTATTAACCATTATCATCATCATCGTTATACCATCATTATCATCTTCATATACCACATCATCATCGTCATCATCCTTTATCATCCATTATCGTTATTACCAATTCCATCATCATCATCGTCATCATCATCATCAATCATCGTTATTACCATCATCATCATCATTACCATTGTCATCATCATCGTCATCCATCATCGTTATTATCCATTATTACATCATCATCATCATCGCATTATCATCACATCCATCGTCCATCGTCATTATCCTCATTATCAATACATCGTTATTACCGTATTATCATCCATCATCAATCAATCAATTCATCATTATCAATGCATCGTCATCATCATCATCATCATCGTTATTACCATTCATCAATCATTACATTGTCATCATCATCCATTCATTACCATTATCCATCATCATCATCCTTATACATCATCATCATCACCATTATCATCATCATATCATCACCATCATCTTATTACCATTATCATCATTATCACCACATCATCGTTATTACCATCATCATCATCATTCATTCCATTATCATCATCATCATCAATCATCATCATCACCATATCATCATCACGATTATCATCAATCATCGTTTACCATATCATCATCATCATCGTTATTACCTATCATCATCATCATCTCCATAACATCATCATCATTCATATATCATCATCATATTACCCATCATATCATCATCACATTACATCATCATCATCACAATCATCATTATCACCATTATCATCATCATCATCATCATACCATATATTATCATCATCATCATCATCATTACCATAATCATCATCATCATCATCAATTAATTAATCATCATCATCATCATCATCATCATAATCATCGTTATATTATCACATCATCGTCATCATCAATCCATCATCATCATCCATCATCATCATCATCATCATTCATCATCATCATCATCATCATCGTTATTACCATCATCATCATCATCATCATCGTTATTACCATCATCATCATCATCATCATCATCATCATCATCGTTATTATCATCATCATCATCGTTATTACCATCATCATCATTCATCATCATCATCATCATCATCATCATCCATCATTATCATCATCATTATCATCATCGTTATTACCATCATCATCATCATCATCGTTATTACCATCATCATCATCATCATCGTTATTACCATCATCATCATCATCATCATCGTTATTATCATCATCATCATCATCATCATCATCATCGTTATTACCATCTCATCATCATCATCATCATCATCATCATCGTTATTACCATCATCATCATCATCATCATTATACATCATCATCATCATCATCGTTATTACCATCATCATCATCATCATCATCATCGTTATTACCATCATCATCATCATCATTTATTACCATCATCATCATCATCACATCATCATCATCATCATCATCATCGTTATTACCATCATCATCATCATCATCATTATTACATCATATCAATCATCATCATCGCATCATCATCATCCATCATCATCGTTATTACCATCATCATCATCATCGTTATTACCATCATCATCATCATCATTACCATCATCATCATCATCATCATCATCATCGTTATTACCATCATCATATCATCATCATTTATCATCATCATTACCATCATCATCATCATCATCATCATCATCGTTATTACCATCATCATCATCATCATCATCATCATCACCATCATCATCATCATCATGTTATTACATCATCATCATCATCATCATCATCGTTATTACATCATCATCATCATCATCATCATCATTACCATTCATCAATCCATCATCCATCATCATCCATCATCATCATCATCATCATCATCATCGTTATTACCATCATCATCATCATCACCATCGTTATCCATCATCATCACATCATCATCATCATCATCATCATCATCGTTATTACCATCATCATTCATCATCATCATCGTTATTACCATCATCATCATCATCATCATCATCGTTATTACCATCATCATCATCATCATCATCGTTAATTACCATCATCATCATCATCATCATCGTTATCCATCATATCATCATCATCATCATCGTTATTACCATCATCATCATCATCATCATCATTACCATCATCATCATCGTTATTACCATCATCATCATCATTACCATCATCATCATCATTCATCATTACCATCATCATCATCATCATCATCATCGTTATTACCATCATCATCGATCATGGGTGTGCATCATCGTTATTACCATTATCATCATATTTCATTTTTCCTCTCTTAAACTTTTTTTTCATTCAAAATAAATGGAGAGTACGTGTGTATGTCCGTATCATGTGTATGTGCTTGTCTGTGTATGTGTGTTCGTTTGCGTTCATGTATGTGCGTATTGCATGTGTGATTACTGACGTGCGTACGGTGTTTGTTTGTGCGAATGGTTTTGTGAGTGTTTGCGTGTATGTGCGTGACTGCATGTGCATATTCGTGTACGTATGTATAAGTACAATCTTCGTGTTATTCTGAGTATTTTCGTGTATGTGCGTGACTATATATGTGCGTATTCGTGTAACGTACGTGTGAATACAATCTTCCTTTGTTATTCTGAGCGTTTGTGTGTGTGTGCGTGGCTGCGTACGCGCATTCGAGTACGTAAATGTGAGTACAATCTTCCTTTGTTATTCTGAAAGTTTATGTGTGGGCGTGACTGTGT